GGCTCGTCTTTTCCTCGTGACCCTTCTGTAAGGGGATGTCCAGTTGCCTACAGATGGGTCTTGGGTCCCCAATCTGTACTCCTCCTCATTCACAATGGTTTGATTTTTTTGTTCTTTGATGCCTGATACCTGATGCCTTTGACACCTCATGATCACACAGGCTGGTAGCACCTCAATTTTAACAAGCCCCAAACTGCACTCCTCTTCGAGTGTCATCCGGCTCAGGGCATGGTGACCCCTTCTTGCAGCTGCTCAGACCAAAAATCTGGCATCACTCTTATATCGCACCATCACATGTCCTTGCTCTTCAAACCCATTCACATTTTACCTCCTCTACTGCCACCCATAATTAGTCAAAACGCAGGTAACAAGAAACACTCATTGGACTGACAGGACTGAGGGTTGTCAGTGCCTGCACAATCATCGAGGTGAATGCCATCAGCCGACCTATACCTACACCTAGGCAGGGTTATGCACTGTGCACTGAGTATTACAGTGGCATCAGACTGAATGTTGGTCTGTGGACTCATGGTCTAATACTCTCTCCATTTGCTACCTCGTCCTTTCCGACTTAGAAGGGTTTCCTCTCTATTAAGAGAAAATTCACCAATCTATGAGTCATAGTTTAGTACTCAAAGCCAAACTCACTGCCTTCAAGCTGATGCCGACTCCCAGTGACCCTACAAGTCAGGGCGGAACTGCCCGTGAGCTCCCGAGACTAACTCTTTATAAGAGTAGAAAGCCCCATCTTTCTCCCAGGGAGTGGAGGTGGTTTCAAACTGCTAACCTTTTGGATTGCAGCCCAACGCATAACCTCTATGCCACCAGTTTAGTTCAGACAGTCACAAATGTAGGCAAATTAGACAGAGGAAAGGTGCAACTCAAGAGCAGCATCAAATTCAGAGGAAAGGGAGAGTCCAAGACCAATGCCCTCTGGTGTTCTCTCTCCTCCATCCTCACCAACCCAGACAGTACGGCTCCTTATCCAGGGCCCCACGGCTACAAGAAGTAAGATGGAGAACAGGTCCCAGGCTCCCTAGTAAGAACACTGCAAATCCAGAGTACAACCAGAATATCGACAGATTGACATCGATACACTCCAAGTGTTCTTATTGCCTGTTTTAATTGTACTCGTTTTGTGTATGGGTGTGCATGAAGTGCCACAGAACAGTATCACGTGGGGGTATATAGTCTCATCACCAAAGTCATGATGAACCAGTTGCACAGCGCATGGCTCCTTCCTTTGTAACCTTATCCAAACATGCGCGCGTACACACACACACTCTCTGACCTCCATCCATCCTTGACACTCTGACGTGACTCCAACAGTACACTCAGTGCTGCTCCCTTTCCCGCCACTACATCCCAGGTCCATCGTACTCAAGGCGGAGGCAATGTCTGAGAGCAGGAGACCTCGGAAGGAATAAGCTTTTCATCTTACTGGTAGGAAAGGCAGAGAAAATGCTCGGCATTTAGGTACCCGCATTAGGGTTTTAATATGTGCACATCAACTAATACATATTCCTGGCCATCCAAGGGGAAAAACACACACTCTAGAAACGCTGTAAAAACACCACTATCGACCGAAGCACGAATTCCTCAGAAACCACAGAATGTGCCTCCTCCGTTTCCTCAGAGAGACCTGCTCCCTGTCTCCCACAGGCATGAATCCCCCTTATCCATGTCACCAGAAAGGTCCTGGGCCTTCCACATCAGTAGACAAAAATCCCGATTTCTACTTCTACAAACGTCATTTGTCCGTGGCAGTCCAGGAGAAACACTGACCCTTGCTTGGATTTCAAACTTGCTGCCGGTAGTTATAACAATGCAATTTACAACGTCACATAAATAAAACGCCTACGCGACGTCCACAGCACTGGCCAGTGGGCATGCGGCACATTCGTACCTGCTGAGCTCAGGAGGACGCTGAAGTCGGTTCCCCTCTGCGATTCTCCACTTTCATTTTCGGCCCCCTTTTCCGTGTCTTGATATCGATCCCAGTTAGAAACGATCTTTCTTTTAGAATAAGTTCCCTGGTCTTCATTCTCGTCCCCATAGGTGTCTGCATCGCTGTCGTCTTCGGCCTGCAATCATCAGAGGGAAACCCGTCAGCGGCGGGCAGTGGAAATCTTACCGCGGTGGCTTAGTAGACATACGAAATACACGGTGTCATAAAAAAGAGTAAACTCAGAGACCAAGCTGCCTGCAGATTCAAAAGCATCACGCTACGGTGTTCTTTCAGTGGAAACCTTTCATTTAGCACTGGAAAAGAATCTGGAAAGCTACTAATTAAAATTGTGGGTAATCGCTTATCCCTAGTATCTATCCCAGTATGAGGGGGCTTCAAAAGGTTTGAAGAAAGCGGAAGAAAGCGGATTGTCAAAAAAATTTTGACAATCATTTTATTGGGGGCTTTTACAGGTCTTATAATAGTCATCAACTGTATCAAGCATATTTTTTTCTTTTTTCTTTATAATCAATTTATTGGGGCTCATACAATTCATCACAATACATAGATCAATTGTATAAAACACATCTATACATTTGTTGCCCTCATATTCCCAAAATTCGCTTGCCTCTTGGGTTCCCGGAATCAGCTCATTTTCCTTTTTTTCCCCCTTGTATCAAGCATATTTTTACACGTTTCCATCATCATTTCCAAAACATTTTCAACTTGTCCCCTTCCTCCGCCACCCTTGTGAATCCTTGATTATATATTATTATTTTGTATCTTACACTGTCCATTGTCTCCCTTTACCCACATTTCTGTTATTCACCCCCTTTGGAGGAGGGGGGTGCTATATATCCAACCTTGTGATGAGTTCCCCCTTTCTCACCAGTGCTTCCCCCTCCCTGACCATCCCCCTACCCTCATGGTATCACTACTCCCACTACTGTTCCTGAGGGTTTTATCTGTCCTGAATCCCATGTGTCGAGAGCTCTTATCTGTACCAACGTGTGTTCTCTTGCCAGATTAGTAAGGTAGAACTGGGCCATGGTAGTGGCAGGGAGGAAGTAGTCAGGAACTAGAGGAATGATGTGTTGATTCGTTGGTGCTATACTGCACCTTGGCTGAATCATCCCTTCCTTAGAACCCTTCTGTTGGGGGATATCCAATTGTCTACAGATGGGCTTTGGCTCTCCACTCCAACTCCCCTCATTTGTATCGATATAGTTGTTTGTTTTGGATCTTTTGATACCTGATCCCTGTCAACACCTCCTGATCACACAGGCTGGTGTGCTTCTTCCATGTGGGCATATCTGCTTCCCTGCTAAATCGCCACTTGTTTGACTTCAAGCCTTTAAGACCCCAGACGCTATAGCCACGCACCATCTGTTCTTTAAAACACACACACGCAAAAAAAAATTCTGGAGCCCCTTGTACCTACTAGGAGCCTTGGTTCTCTAGCAGGTAATGCCTTGGGCTGCTAAGCTCAAGGTTAGCAGCTTGAACCCACCAGCGGCTCCTCAGCAGCAAAACGAGGCTCCCACTCCCAGAAAGAGTTGTCGCCGTGGAAACCACAGGGCAGTTCTACCCTGACTGTACGGAAGCTGGGCGTCACGTTCACCTGGATGGCAGCCCGTTTGGTTTGGGTTGGTGGGATGTTCTACTTTGAAAGTTGTTTCACATCATGCAAATCAAGGCAGACGGACACCTTCTGAAAATCCACAGCTCAGGGATGGCAATAAACCCTCCCTGCCAAGTTAACAGATTTCAGAAAGACTCCACAAAAGGTTTATGAACGTTGAGAGGCCTGCTTACACACATTCCAGAGAACAGTTCCTAGTCCGAGGCTCTCAAGGGTTTAGAGACAATGTTGGGGAAAATGCAGATTGTGAGAAATTCTACAGGATGCAGAGCCCAATTTTGTAAAGGACCTGCAGGGGGAGCTCTAGTGAGGGCAGAAGGAGGACCAGAGAGCAAAGGGCTTAGGAGAAGCACGGTGCCTGCCGTAGGATCAATTTTGACTCACCTCAACCTCAGGGGATAAAATTTTTCTAGGTTTTCTAGGCTATAATCTTATCTAGACAAAAGCTGTTGAGTGAATTTAAACGACTATCAGATATATTTGAATCTAAACTCCAACTCAAACTTTCTAACTTGAGAAAAATAGCCATTTACAAAACAATTAGGGAAACGTGAACAATGACGCTATGTTTTGCTGTACTAAAGCAGCACTGGCTTTTTTGGATCCTAGTTACTGTTTGGGTATGCGTTTCTTAATTGTTCTATGTTTTGTTGAAAATAGACCCGGCACTATTTATGGACGGTGGCACTGTTGGGTAAATAGGGGTCCGCTAACTGCAAGGTTGGTGTTTGAAACCCACCAGCTGCTCCCTGAGAGAAAAACGAGGGAGGCTGTTTCCATAAAGATCTACTGCCTCGGAAATCCTACGGAGGGCTGCTGTGAGCACGGACCTACTCAACGGCAGTACACATCTGTAGATGAAAAGATACGGTATGTAGAATTTGCTTCCAAATAATCCGTGGAGCTGAGGGAGAGATCACACAAGACTGGGCCCAGCTGATAACTGCTGATGGGTACAGAGAAAACCATCGTGTTATCTTCTCGACTTGCACATAAGTCTGAAATTTCCTATGAGCAAAAATTAAATTTACAAAAATCATGAGTGCATTCCGAGTTAAAAGACAAGGTTCAAAGAATTATCACAAAGACGATGAAGTGATCAGTAAGAAAGAAAAATGAAGGCAATGTATTAAAACTACCTATCTGTAAAGAATGTTTTAAGTGAGTTTTTAACATAAAAGCAGGTAATGCACATAACAAACAATACTTCGTCTTCCTGTCATGCAAAGAGTACCATTACTAACACCTAGTATAGACACTTGCAGATTTTCTGCGGATGTGTGTATGCATATATATGTATGAGTGTGTATGAGCCAATTTAAGTCAATATTATTAACCTTTCCATTTCATTTCCATGAGATGAAATTTTCATTCGTCATTTTCATTTCATCTAATACCCAGGCTATTTACAAATCCCCCTGACTTAAATGACCTTGATAAAAATGCCTCCAAAGCTGGTTTGTTCACCCGGCATGCAATTCAGGACCGTGCACTCCAACTGCTTGTTTGCTCCGGTACGTTTCTTCTCTACAGCACAACCCCTCCTGATGACACTCACTCACTGAAGGGAAGAGGGCAGGCCTCGCGCACCAGGGCAGCTTCTGTACACACGCTTCTCGGAAAAGTATGGTCATCAAACTTGCTTTTTTCAACATCTCCAATATTTACATAAGCTAATCTAACAAACTCTAATTGCCCAAATTCTTTTATTGTTGTTGTAAAAATACCCTATAGATGATACTCTGAACTTCGAACGACACTTAGTAAATGTCAAAGCCAATCTCAGTAATGCCAAGATTAGGTGATGAAGTCTTACATCATACCATTCTCTTGCCCCTCGCATCTAGGATATTATCAAGAGTATGATTTTAGTCGGCGTCAAATTTCTGGCGTCCATCAACAGTTCACGCAACAAATTTCACACAAGTCAATAACCCTCACCTGAATCAAATTTCTTAAGAGTTTGTGAAATTGTGTGAACGGACCTTTCAAGATCACTTTCAGCCCTCAAATATCATCACAATGTTGTAAGGCTACCCACAAAGAGGGCAACTGGCATCATGTTCTAAGGACTGCAAAGACTGGCTGAAACCTGCCTTTGCTGCAAGTTTATCAGACTAGAAGCTGAGGGCAATTCGAGGCGGGTGGCCAAATGAGATCTGCACTCTAAATAACCGACGTGGGCACATCCGGAAGAGAAGGGTTTCATGATGAGAACTGGGGGGCAGAGCGGGAGCTGAAAACACGAGCCTCATCGGGGCGAAGTCAACATTCTCTTGTTGGTGTGCTGGGTAAACAAGTCCAGAGCGGTCTCTGCAGTGAGTGTAAGCCCCTGAACGACAGCCAGGGCACACGACAGAAATGCGAGCCTGGGTGAAATGGTCCGCTTGGGGTGAAAGAAGATTGTGGTCTCAGAACACCTGCGGAACTATTAATGCAGTGCAACAAGCACTTAAATGGGAGGAAGGAGACCCAGATAGAATTAATGGCCCTGCCATCGTCATCATTTAAAATTTACTGAGTGTAATAGGCTGGGCCTCACATAGCTGAGTGACTCACTAATTCCCAACTTAGAAGAACCACTGAACAAGGATCGCATTACCCCCACCACAGTGCAAGGATGAGCAGAGTGGTCATTAGTGTCATCACAAGAGGGCAGTAAGCAGTAATAATGGTTAGATGATAGTTAAGTGTGACTTAAAGGGAGGTGTAACTTAAGAATTCTGAGAGATTTTGTTTGGTCCATTTTGCAAAGATGTGGGATATGTTTTTAAAATACAAAGCCCCAAGATGGAGAGAAGGATGGAGGCCATTAAAATATGGGTGAAAACAGTAAATATAAAGGACTCTATTACATTAGCAACATCATTGCCAACTTACTCTAGTAATTCCCCCATAACATTTTGTACCTGGGTATTGGTCATTGGTTGCAGCATTAATAACAGGAAGCCAATTAGCTCAACAGCCTAAAAATCTGTTCTAAGTACCACCTAGCTACAATGTTGTCAAATAAAACAAAAATAATAATAATCCACTAAAAGTAAATTGAGGAATGAAAAACTTATTGGTTTATAGTTCTTTCAATAGACACAGGTAATTCTAACTTCCCCTACCTTGTGGGATACAAGTGAGAAAAGCTGTCCCGTGGATGGACTAACTCCGGGGCCAAAAATCTAGCCCTCTCCAGGGAGAGGAGCTAGCTGCGGCAAGAAAACAGACTCTTGCTTCTATACTTTCCTGTGCATGAGTAATCCATCTATGAGAAGCAAATCATCCATTTTCATATGCAGAAAAAGACAACACTGTCCTGGTTTACAGTCATGTTCAGATAACAGAAAAAACAAAAAAGCAAGCTCCCTGCCAAGGAATCAAGTTCCACTCACCGTCACCCTGGAGCTGGGGTTCTCAGCCTTCCTCACGCCGCCACCCTTCCGTACAGTTCCTCGTGTGGTGGTGACCCCCCAACCATAAAACTATTTTCGTTACTACTTCATCACTGTAATTTTGCTACTGTGATGATGAATCATGTAAAGATCGGACAGGCAGGATGTATTTTCATTGTTACAAATTGAACATAATTAAAGCATAGTGATTCATCACAAAACAATATGTAATTATAGATTGTGAAATATTTATGTGTTTTCTGATGGTCTTAGGCGAACCCTGTGACAGGGTTGTTTGACACACACACACCCAAAAGGGGTCACAACCCACAGGTTGAGAACCACTGCCCTAGAGGCTAGAGCCGAACGGCTCCTTAGCGTTTCCCGGACTAAGTCTTTACAGAAGCAGACCACCTCATCAGTCTTGACTCATCAAAGTAGGTTGTTGAACATCGTCTTTTTGGACTGTGTTATGTCCACTGAACTTGGAGTCCCACGAGACTGTTCCTGAGCCACAGATCCAGAAACTCATTCCTGCAAAGCATCTGGTTATGTCTACATTTTCATAATTTCATCATTTTGTTCCCTGTATGCTTCACCTTAGTCCTGGATACATATGAAATACGGGCAAATTCCCATAAACATCCTGTGTCAAACCTATACTTATTTGTGGGTATGCATCCACTCTCCCTCCCACAACCAGTCAACTTGTGTGTCTATCCATAAATCTACTTGTAGATCATCATGACTACAGGGTTGTGTATCTAGTTCTCTCTCTTGCCTTTAACTCTTGCACTCACTTTTGTTTCTAATGGTACTGGACCACCAACATTCATTCAACACACACACTTTAGTGTTACAGAGTTGGGGCATCAGTTCAGACACTGGGGATACAATGACCAATAAGACAAAGTCCCAGTCCTAAGACCTCACAGACTCAGGAAACTATCGGAGACAAACATATAGCATGGCCAGTCTTGTAGGTCAGGGAGAAGGAGGAGGAAGTCATGTACATGTACCCATGGGCTAGGGGGACTGTGTCATGATCTGATGTCTACACTGAATTCAGCTCTCGCTAAGGACAACTGACCTGAGACTACTCTAGTGATGGAAACACCTCTATTTCCTTCTGGGAGAGAGGTCCCAACTCAAGGAAAACAAAACCTGTTTCTTACCTGGATGTTAGCAGAGACTGTTTCTAACCAAGTGATAAAAACTGCTTAAAGAGATCGGTATTTGCACCCATTCCAAAGAAACAATCCAGAGGAATTGTGCAAACCGTGCCAGACCATTAATACCATACACAAGCAAAATGTTGCTGAAAGTAACTCAAAAACAGTTGCAGCAATATATCAATAAGAAACTACCAGAAATCCGCACCGGACTCAGAAGAGGACATGGAACCAGGGATATATATCGTTGCTGGTGTCCGATGGACCTTAGCTGAAAGCGAAGAACACCACAAAGAGGTTTACATGTGTTGTGTCATCTATGTAGCTCACAACCAATCATGGGTAGCTGTGAAGACTAGGAACGCCAAAACACGGAATTGTGCTCGTGCAGAACTTAGACATGGGCCTGAGGCAGTCTTGTCGGGCTTCGATTCTTTCACCATACTTACTCAACCTATATGCTGAGCAAGGACTGGAGAAGCTGGACTACGCGGAGAAGAACTGGGGTCAGGGCTGGAGGAGGGCTCATTAGCAACCTATGACACACAGCTGACAAACACAACCTCACCTGCTACGGAAGTGGAGAGGGCTTTCTGAAGCACTCACTGCGCAAGACCAAAGACTGCAGCCTTCGGGCTGGACAACACCTCAACAAAGAAAACACAAAATCCTCACACTTGGACAAATAAACAACATCGTGGTAAACAGGAAAAAAGATGGAAGTCAGTAAGGATTTCATTGGACTTGGATCTACAATCCATGCCCAGTGGAACTGCCGCCCAGATGCATGGCGCTGGGCAAGTACTTTAGGAAGTAAGGCAATCCAGACCCAAGCCAGGTTATCTCCAATCACCTCAGATGTACACCAAACACTGGACAATGAATAAAGAAGACTAAAGAACGGATCCCTTTGGATTACGGTGTTGGGGAGAAATGCTAATATACCATGGCCAGCACTTGGAAATCATCGACTTCTCTGAGGGAGAACGATGGGGCGTTCTGGCCCTGTAAAGGGTTCCAGTCTCGGAAGCCACGGGAGCAGTTCCACTCTGTCCTGTAGGGTCCCTGCGGGTCGCATCGCTGCACGCGGAGTTTAGTCTTGTAGGTGTGCTGACGCCTGTCAACTGGGCTGATTTTAAAAGCCATGCTTTTCATAAAAATGATTTCTGCTGAAATGCTGCCCCAAACTATTGAAAGGCAGACCCTCTGACGTCATGGGGTGCAGTCTACTCCCCACTAGTGTTGGCTCTGATGCTAACTTATCTCTCTTAAAAATGCACTCGTCTCTCATTCATCTTAATTTCAAAACAGTCCTAGAAAACAGTACTCAGCAAGGACCTTCTTTACACACACACCTAACCAATCACAAGTACACAGACGAAACATAGTCAAAAATCTTACCAACCACACAAGGAAACAAATCTCTGACCCAAAAGCTTCCTCAGGGCAGCCCATTCAGAGGAACCACTGACCCACCACAGAACAGCATGCTAGCAAGACGCCACTTACATCTAAAAGCATGCGGTGACCAGAGACTGGCGGGAGGGCACAGACTATGATGGGGCAGAAAATATCCAATGAGGCAGTGCCTGGATGAACGTGTGCAAAAATGCCAAACGTGTCTCAGAGACAATCTAGAACGCAAGTGTCCAACAGTACCAAAACCCAACACTCTGCCAGGGCACCGATTCCACCCCTAGTGGCCCCCGGGAAAGAACAGAACTCCTCTCTAGGGTGTCCGGGCAGCACATGACAGGAGCAGAGAGCCTCCTGCCGCCCTCAGCACGGGTTTGCACCCCAGCCTTCCGGTAGTAGCCCACTGCCTTAACCACCAGCCACCAGGACGCCACAGATGATGCCAATTGGTGACAAACTCACTACACGTGAAGAAAGGAAACTGTAGCAAACTGCTGTTACTGAAGCCTCACGCCATCTCCTCCTGTTAATGAACGGCCTAATGCCACCATCTACTGGACCGTCCTCCCCACGCAACACAAGTCACAGCCTGGCCTGCATTCGCACTGGGATTTCACCAGCACCTGGGTCTGTGTGTACAGGTCTGCTTCCCAACATTGCTTGTGCCTTCTCATGTGAGGACAAATGGTTCTAGTAAAACCCCTCCTGCTGCACGTTCAGTCCCTCGATTAAATTACAATTTTACATTCCTGTGGGGGGAAAGCCGTCAGTTTAACTAAATCAAATTTGGTAAAAGATATGCATCTCTATAAACCTTGTCAATCCTTCCGTCTGTTTAGACATGAGCCAATCTCAAGTCCTAACTTAAGTTTGATCTGCTGTCTTAGTTACCTAGTGTCACTGTCCCAGAAATACCCCACAGGCGTGGCTAGGGAGCTTTAGCAAACGTATTGTCCCAGCGTGCAGAAGCTGGAAGTCCAGACTCAGAGGCAAGGTCTTTCAGGAGGCACTGCAGCAGAGGAAGGTGCGCCCACGTTTCTTCAGCTTGTCGGCACCCTGTCCTTGGAGATTCCGGGTGTCTTGGCATCACTCTTCCCCATGCACACCTCTAACGTAACCAGGGCCACCCATTACCAAAGGAGACTTAACCACCCGCACACCCAAACCCACTACTTTCAGACAGTTAGGTCACAGGGACCCTGTGGTTAGAATTTACCACACATACACACACACACAGTGTTTCATTAAAAGATCATTTTACTGGGGCTGACAGCTCTTATAACAACCCATCCATCAACTATATCAAGCATATTTGTACAAGTGTTACCATCATTATTTTCTAAACATTTACTTTCTATTTGGGCCCTTGGTGTCACCTCTTTTCCACCCCCCTCCCACCCTTGTGACCCCTTGATAAATTGTAAATTATTATTTTCATATCTTACACCGACCACTGCCTCCCTTCCCCTGAAGTTTCTGCTGTTTATCACCTGGGGTGGGAGAGGTTAGGTGTCAATCATTGTGGTCGGTTCTCCCTTCCTCCTCTGCTCTCCCCAGTTTCCCCCTCCCCTCCTGGTATCACTACTCCCACTCCTGTTCCTGGGTTCCGTGTGTCGTGAGCTCTTATCTCTTATCTGTACCTGTGCCATGCTGCACTCTAGCCTGCAGTGAAAGTCAGGACCGGGGTAATGAGAGTGAGGGGTGAGGAAGCTTTAAGGAACCAGAGGAATATTGTGTTTCACTGGTGCTGCATTGCGACCTGGTTGCCTCACCCCTTCTTTCTGACTTCTGTGCGGGATGTCCCGTTGTCTACCGATGGGTTTTGGGTCTCGGCTCCACCACCCTCGTTCTCAACAATATGGGGGTTTTTTTAGAACATATATTGAGAGGGGACACAATTCAATCATAATTCTTGCTTATAAAACTATTGGACCTACCAGAATTCTCTCAAGTGCCCAACTTCTGAGACAGGTTATAGACACATGGTAACCAAATGAGGACTGAATCACCAGAACCAGTCATCTGAAAAGGCTCTGTGCACCGATTTTATCTGACAATTAGGAAACAGTGCCATGTATGTACCCACCTTCTCTAAGGAGCCCTGATCACACTGTCCAGTAAGCACTGGACTGCTAACAGCAAGGTGGGCGATTCACACTCACTCTCACACTCACTCTGAGGGAGAAAACCAAGGCCGTCTGCTCCCATCAAGGCATCAAAGAACAAAAAATCCTATCATTGGGTGCCCACCTCCATGACGATCGCTGAAGACAAATGGGAGCATAAGCACATGTGGTGAAGAAAGCTGATGGTGCCCGGCTATCAAAAGATATAGCGTCTAGGGTCTTAAAGGCTTGAAGGTAAATAAGTGGCCATCCAGCTCAGAATCAACAAAGCCCACATGGAAGAAGCACACCAGCTTGTGCAATCATGAGGTGTCGAAGGGATCAGGTATCAGGCATCATCAGAACAAAAAAAATCCTATCAATGTGAATAAGGGCAGTGTGGAGTGGAGACCCAAAGCCCAGCTGTAGGCAATTGGACATCACCTTATGGAAGGGTCACGAGGAGCTGATGAGCCAGTCAGGGTGCAGTGTAGCAACGATGAAACATACAACTTTCCTCTAGTTCCTAAATGCTTCCTCTCTCCCCACTATCATGATCCCAATTCTACCTTGCAAGTCTGGCTAGACCAGAGGATGTACACTGGTACAGATAGGAGCTGGAAACACAGGGAATACAGGGTGGATGATCCCTTCAGAACCAGTGATGTGAGTGGCGATACCGGGGGGGTGGAGGAAGAGTGGGGTGGAAAGGGGGAACCTATTACAAGGATCTACATATAACCTCCTCCCTGGGGGTTGGACAACAGAAAATTGGATGAAGGGAGACATCGGACAGTGTAACATAAGACAAAATAATAATTTATAAATTATCAAAGGTTCATGAGGAAGGGAGGAGTGGGGAGGAAGGGGGAAAAATGAGGAGCTGATGCCGTGGGCTTAAGTGGAGAACAAATGTTTTGAGAATGATGAGGGCAATGAATGTACAAATGTGCTTAACACAACTGATGTATGTATGGATTGTGACAAGAGTTATATGAGACCCTAATAAAGTTATTTTAAAATAAATAAAAATAAAACTGTTCCAAAAGAAAGACTGACAAACCCTATCCTGGGATGGGACTATTTGAGTCTTTTTTAGTTCAACAGGTCCCAGGCAGTCACAGCATGCTGTTTTACGGCCCCTACAGCTCCACTGTCCGGATTGGCTTTAGTACTTTTGGAACTTTCACTATGAATCATCAATTTGACAACACTGGGTTTGGTACTCTGCTTGGGTTTTGTCTTTGGACCCATCTTGAGCGTTTCAGCATTTAAAGCTTTTCTTTTGAACTTAATGCTTCTCTTCTGAATTTATCCTCTTCCGGATCTTCTCAGACTAAAGAGTCTTTTTACAAAATGCGTAACTGTTCTCTTTAGTGGGCTGGCTGAAATTTACAGTATTTTCTGGATTCTCAAGAGCACTTGCCCATAACAACACTAACAGGGAGAAAAAAAGCCAACACAGCATCCTCGGACCAAGGCAAACTCCTTCAAAGTCCATGGATGTGAAAAAACAACTACTGCAAAAACGCTATGCAACGAATCTGTGGATGGGAGAAGTCAGCACTGCTGGCATTTGCCTGAAAGCCACTCTGGCCACACGCAATGCGGGGCATCTGGGAACCAGCAGCTCACTCAGCTGGCACGCTTCTCTGGCCCATTCGTATTCTGCTGCTCCACCAACTAAACGGAATCATGGGATCACGTCACAAAAACCTGCCAGGAACGTCAAAGGAAACAGAGGAAAGAGCTGGGAGGCAAGGGGCCTTTCTAGAGGTCTAGATTAAGGCATGTACATATGCAAATACATTTATATATGAGGATGGGGAAACAGATCTATGTGCATATATTTATAGGTTTAGTATTAAGGTAACAGAAGGACATTGGGCCTCCACTCAAGTACTCCCTCAATGCAAGAATACTTTCT